GGATCAAACCCAGGGCCTTAGGCATGCAAGGCAAAAGCTCGACCACATCCCCAGTCCTGGAATAGGCCTTTTAAAGACTTTGCTGAATGATGACGAGGCTGGTGAAGGGCCACACGGCTGCAGGTTGCAAAGTATGAAGAGTGGGGTGGGAGCACCAAGGGCCAGTGGCCTCCAGCAGAACAGGGACGGGAACGAAGAAGGCAGACACAGCCATGCCACCGGCCAGGCAGGGCCCCCGTACACCCTGCTCCTGAGCCTGGCTTCTGAAGGCAAAGGGACTGCTGGAAAATGGAAGTAGCCAGGCCCACTGCTATCTGGACAAGACTTGCTCTGTGTCCAGGGTTCTCCTTAGGCCCCTGTGGACCCTTCTTCAGTCGGTGCCCTTACAAATATTAAGTGAGGCTCTCCTATGGGCAAGAGAAACATACACCTTTCCCTCAAAGCTTACACCTCAGTCAGAGACATAACATGAGCATAAATAATCATCCATAAGGCCGAAAACGGTAAGGGCTACACAGAAGGTGGGAGAAACACTTTGGGGAGTTGTAGTCAGTGAAAGTCTTGACCTTGGCCAGTTGTCAATGAATGTCTGTAGTGGAGCACAGGTCCACAGGAGTTGAAACAATTGGTTCTAATCCATGGTTGGTCTCAGACTTTATGGACCTCAGTTTATAAATCTATAAAATGGAGATAATAACATCTGCCTTGTAGAATCAGAACAACCTTTTGGATGTTTATAGGGCTGTAAACCTCAAATATATGTAGAAGATTATTTGGAATTATATAGTGCTATGTAGAGGTAAGCTATTGTATTATCGATCTAATCACTTGATCTGTGACTCAGGGAACCAGGAATCTGGTCATTGGGTTAGAGCATAGCTTGTACCCTGAGCTCCACACCTCCCCTTTAGAGAAAGCTCCCTCAGCTCTTGGCCAATCCAACACTATTTAATGCTCATTGGTTGGATGTGTAAAGCACTATGCCAGGGGCTGCCGGGAAAGAGAGGCCTGGAATCTAGAGTTCATTTCCTTCAGGGCCTGTCACGGAATTTGGGAGACAGAATAGTCATGCATAAAATATGACTAGGGGGTAAGAGGGTCATAGGGAAGAGTGGATGAAATCAAAACACTCACATGCATGTATGGAAATGTCGCAATGAAAACCTTTCTTTGGTGCAATTAATACGTGTTCATATTATAATAAAAATTAAAAGATGGAATTAACAATGCAAATGATGTAAGATCAGCAGATGTAAGCAAGGATCATCAGTTTCGGTTCCACAGATCCCAGGGATTAAAAGGAGGGTACTTTATGAGAGGTGGAGGACAGGGGGCTGGCATCCAGGACTGAGAATTGGGAAACAAGGTAGAAAAGTCACAAGAAGGCAATGAGGGAAACAGACTCAGGCCTCTTGGACCAAAGTGACCACCTGCTGTGGGGAAGAGGAAGGAGCCCCAGTTGGGTACAGATGGCAAAGGCCTTGAATGCCTGGTGCGGGAATTTGAGCATTTACTTAAAGGCATGGGAGCGAGTGAAAATGTTATAATCAGAGTGCCACAGTGAAGACAGTGAATGTCCCAGTGTTGGACAGGGGTTTGTAGAGTGACTGGAGGGGAGATTGCAAGCAGGGTGATCAGTGTGGAGGCCAGCGGAGTCACTTGGGTATGACAGCAGGTACACTGGTCCCTCAAATGCTCTCGGACTGGAGGAACTTGTGAAGGGAGGGCACTACATGCTGTGCAGTGACACATTTCCCTTTTGGTTTTGGAAGGGCCAGGTGGGTTGAGTGGCCTGAATGCCTAAACCCTTGGCTTTGAGGCCTGGCTCTTAGGATTTACTTAGTCTGTCGATGGAGGCTGGCCAGAGCTGGGCAGCTCAGAAAATCTAGTTCTCTTCTCCCCAGGTAGCTGGTTGGTGGCCACTGGGCGGTGGACAGGGAGGGGAGGATAAGGGAAATGCAGGTTTTGTGCAAGGGTTCAGCATCGGGTGACATTCCAGTGGGTTCTGCCCGAAACTTACTTCCAGGTGCATTTCCAGGGGGGATTACCCACAGGGCAGCCAGCTGTGGTCAATGAATGTCTAACTCGCTTGGCCCCTGACTTCCTGTTTCTTAGAGGGCCATGGAGGTGCCTGAGTTCTTTCAAAAACAAAACAAGGCAATCTCTGCTGCTCTGAGCAGGATGTCCTACGAGCCCCACAGTAACCAGTTAAGACAGAACCTGGGAGAAAGGAGAGTAAAATGGAAACTATTTACCAGTAGGTTGAATAGGGCATCAGGGAACCAGGAACCCCACCCTGAGCTCAGAGAGAGGCTATTCTCACTTCATGGGGGCCCAGCTGCTAGACCAGGGGCCCTTGGCCTGCTAAGAAGAGGGAGCAGGCCTGCTACTCCATGGCTCCCCTAGATTCTCAGAACTGAGAGTCCAGGACGCCTGCTCCCCAGACAAACTGGGAAGTCCCTCAAGGGAACAAAAGTGAACTTGGGCACTCCTTGATAGGCTCTGTCACCAGCAGACCTGGGTTGCCAGTGCCCTACACTGGGCTCTGGGGCAGGGCTTTGCTAGCCAGCTCAGAAAACTGGATTTTTCCAGCAGGTGAGGAGCTCACCTGCCACCTCCGAAGGCATCACACTTCTGAGCAGGTAAGTGCAGCACTATCTGTAAGGCTGCAGGGCTAGGAATGTCAGCAGTGATCTGCCCCAGAACAGTGGCTGTTCTACAAGTGAAAGCATCTACCACATGCCAGGCTGTGTGCCAGGTGCTGGGGACAAGATGAGTGAGATGAATCCTTGCTCTTGATGCAGGTACAGTCTAATTGAGATGACTACTTAGAAAGTTAATTTTGCTGGGTATAGTGGTGCATGCCTGTAATCCCAGCACTTCGGAGGCTGAGGCAGGAGGATCACTGCAATTTGAGGACAGCCGGGGCTGCATAGTGAGTTCAAGGCCAACTTGTGCTGCATAGGCTGTCTTTTTTAAAAAAAGGTTAATTATGAACACTAGAATAAATGATAAATGCATAATGGGTTCTGGGTAGAAAGGCCACTCACAATGGTCCTTTTGTAGAAAGTGAAAAAGTCTTTCCAGAAGAAGGGACATTGAGGTAGGGCAGATTCTTTAAAAATCTCTGGTCAGAAGCCACAGGGGCTAGGAAAGATAGGACTCTTGAGGTGGAAAGCCCAGCACAGGTGAGATCCCAGGGTATGGCATAGCAAGGCACTTCTGCTGACGGTGAAATGGAATGGAAGAAATGGTAGAGAAGTAGTTTCTGCAGGAGTGTGGATTCAAATGGTTGGACTTCTTCAGTGGAAAGGCCTAAGGCTCAGAGGAGCTGGACACAGGGAAGCAGAGGCTGACCGCTGACCATCTGTAAACACCAGCCTGGTGGGAAGATCACTCTAGACAGGGTACATTTTCGGGGTGGTGTTTTACCCCCTTATTTGGTGAGTAGAAGGTAGAGGAAAGGGAGGCTCAGAGAGATGAGTGACTTGCCATGCCACATAGCTGGCAGGTGCCACCCAGGGCCTCATCAATATCTCAGACTTCTCAGACTCCTTGATTGAGGGCCCTCTGGCACCTCAAAGAAGGGGCAAGTGAATAGAGGTAGTGTCATCCTGCCAGCAGGAACTCAACTGCCTAAGTGGGGTGCAGGGGGATTAAGTGTGTTCCTCCACAAGCCAGTGACTTCAGGGGCCTTTGCAACTGAGAGTGTTATTTTTGGAGGGAATGGGAGTTCATGATGGGTCCCCTGCTTGCTGGGTTATTCAGTCAGGTGGGGCCACCAGAGACAAGATGGTCCTGCGGCTGGAGTCTTAGAAAGCAGCTCGCCTCCGCAGACCTTCCCTCTGGCACAAAGGCTGGTTGTGCAAAGGGGGAAGGGCGCCCCCCCCACCGGGTCTGACTCACTGGGTGTCCCCAAGGCCACTTTCCCCATTCTGAACCAGCACAGGTCCCGGGGGACTAACGCATGCAGAACACAACGGAGACCCTGGAGACCCAGGGGCCCAGGTCACCTGTGCCGAGGGACTTACTTTATCCTTTGAAGGCAGATCCTGTTCCAGAAGGGAGCAGGGTGAACAGGGGAGCTAAACAGTGCTCAGAAACTGCCCTACATTCCACAGCCAGCTCCCAAGAGGCAAGCTGGAGGGCAAAGCTCAGGCCCTGTGTGGGCCCCTTCCCAACACCCCTGCCCTCCCCGTGTCCAGCCAGGTAGGTGGACAGGCAGGGGCAAAAGCTGTGGTTCTGGAGAACCTTTAGGCTGGGAGGAGACTCACAAAGCTGGAAGGCAAATGGAGAGTTTGCAGGACCCACACTCATCTTCCCTTCCTTAGGGCCACTGTCTTCATCTCCTGGTCCACTGGCTCTCACATATCTCACATATGCTCATGACTCCTCCCGGAAGGCCCACGAAGTTAGACATTACTTGCCTGGTTAAGGAAAAGTAGTAAGAACCCAGGCTGACTTATCCAACTCACTGAGGTCTGACTGGCTGTTTGCCTTTCCAGCCTGGCAGCACAGCTCCCAGCACCATTCAAGGGTTTGTCGCCTTAGCACGGGTCCCTGGCTCTTGGGGTGGGAGGTGCATTTAGAAGAGGAAGAAGAGGACAAAGGCCAGCGCACTGCTGTCTTTGCCACTCCTGTCTTTGCCACTTTCCCCATAGCAGCCCGCGAGGGCGACGCGCAGGAAGGAATCCAGGGTTCCACAAAGTCAGGGCCTTATGGCCGGCCTCAGCGGCTAAGCAAACATTCATTCCCCGCTGGAATCGGAAGGGCCCGTGTGCGGAGGGAGGAACTGGCCCGAGGTTTATCGCTCGGGCAACTCCGGGTGATTCATTGAATTTAGACTTCAGGTTGTCATAGACCGAAGCACGCAAACAAACAGCCCCGGAGGTACCCTCCCCTTCCCCTGCCCGCCCCCACCTGGCTGCCCCTTCGCCCGTGACCAGCTGCCTCCCTTCCCCCTCCCCGGCGCTCAGGGTTGAGCAAACACAGCCACTGCCCGCCCTGCCACCGGCTGGCGGCTGGCTCGGACTGCGCTGCTGGCGATCCCTCAGGCAACTCGGCGGCGTCAGGAGAACCGGCACCCCAAGACCCGGCGCCCTGCCCTCCCCCGGGTCCCCAGGGCGGCCCCTGCCAGGCCCAACAACCTCCCGCTTCCCAGTGCGCCTCGGCCTCTGGGGCCTCCGGCAAGCCAACCAGGCCCAGGACCAGACCCGCCGGGATAACACTGCCCTGCTCCAGCTGGGCCCTCGTCCCAGGGGAAGGCGGCCGGAAAATCTCTTGTTTACTGAGCTAGAAAGATCCCAGGCAGGATTTGCTTCCCCATTTCTGCGGTCCTCTTTCCGCAGATTCCTGAGCCGGAGGGGCAACCCGCTGATCCACACCGGGCGGGGAGTGGGGTGGGGCGGGGCGCGAGGAACCCGTACTCGTGGAAAGATCCCAGGGCCGCGGGAGGGCCAGGACTTAGAGTCGGAGCCAACCTGCCCCGGAGCGCAGAGAAAGTAGGAGCCAGGCTCCACACTGCTCCTTGGGGAGCCGAACTGAGAACGCTAATTAAGACAAGTTGGAACAGGGAACCCGGGCGCAGGGAGGGGAGCGCGCTTCGGTGGACAGCGTCTGCTGCGGTCGCGCGAAACCCGAGCAGGGGTTGTTAAGCTCTGGGCGACGTTTGCCCACGGTGGTTCTGGGCTCTGCCCTACGAGGTTAGGGGCGTGAGCCAGTGACATTCCCACGCAACCTGAGGTCTCGGGGAAGGCCCGTGCGCGTGGAAGAGGTGAATGCTTGGTGTGTGGTGTGTCCACGTGCGCAAGCTCTGGAGGGGAGGGGGCGCGACGAAGACGGACTTTGTGTCTGAGTGTGCGCCTCGCTCCAGTCCGGAGCGGCCGACTGTGCCCGGCAAGGGTCTCAAGGGACAGACGGGACGGAAGGGACAAAGCCTGGGTGTCCGCCACCAAGAGAGCCGCGCCGACGCAGCCCCTGCGCCAGTCGGTTGCGAGAGAGCGCTAGAAAATGTGGGGAGCGAGAGCCTGCCACGGGGTGGGGGGTAGGGTGAGCCAGATAGCACCCCAAACCGCTTTCCAGAGAGAAAGCCTAGTCCCGTAAGTGCGCGCCAGTGTGCGCGCGCCCGCGGGCGGGGGGCGTGGCAGTAAACAGCAACAACCCACTGGCCAGCTTGGCCAGAAACTCCGATCTGCCTTCCCAGCCGGAAAGTGCGACTCGCGGAGCCCGGAGGTGAGTCGCACGGTGAGGGCGGGGCGGGCTTTGTTACTGTGTAAATGGATTGCACATACCTGGAGCTCGGCGGGCGCCCGATAAGCGCCCTGAGTGGAGGTGATGTCACGGTGATGCAGGCCGGCCCAGCCTCGCCGAGAGAAAGGAGCGGAGCGCAGGGAGACGTCGGCCCCAGAGCGAACGACCCAGCGCGCCCAGCGCAGCCCGGGTCCCGGGGAGGCCGGCCCTGCGCCCCGCATCCCCGCCCGGGCCCCGCAACTCCAGCCAGGACTGGGCCTGGCCGCGTGCCCCGCGCCGAGTCCCTCCCACCCCCGCCCGCGCTCGGCCTGGGGCTGGAGTTGGCCCCAGACGCAGCGCCAGAGCCGGGCGGGCGGCGCGTCCCAGGTAAGGGCTGCCGCCTGCCCCCTCCGCCCTCTCCTCGGAAGAGCCGGGCCGGGCTGGCAGGGGGTGGGCGAAGGCAAGAGGCCCGCGGATGGGACCCAAGGGGCGGGGGACGCCGCGCCAACTCTGCTTGGTCGTAGAAAGTTTCCCAGCCGGAGCCAGCTGGGGACTGGGGGTGTGGGGAGCGGCTCGGGTTTGAGGACGGGGGAGGTCTCCGCAGTCGGTGTCCGAGGGGTGTCCCCCCACCTCTCTGCCTCTCCGCGCGAGTCCACGGCCGACAGCCACTCTGTGGGTCGGTGTCCGAGTCTCGGCTGCCCTGCCGTAGCTGCGGAGGGCGGTTTCTTCCGTCAGAGCAAATGTGGGGAGGAGTGGCTGGCTCCCCTGTGCTTTTTGTTCGCACGCACAGGGGTGCGCGGGTGTAGACCAGACCCCGGCAGCCCAGGCTGGAGTGAGGAAGGAAGGGCTCGGGACTCCCTAGAGGAAGTTTGGAATTTCGGACTGTAACGGCCTGCGCCTCTGCTTCTGGCAGCCTGGCTTCTAGATCCCATCCCCATCCTCCCAATTCCAGAGCCCTTTCTGCGGTTTTACACCCAGGGAGATCTAATCACCTAAAACTCCACGATCTTGATCCTCAAGCGCAGAGACCAGAATGTGTAGCAGTAGAGTTTTGTGGCTGGAACCCGCCCCCCCCTCCCTAGTCTGCCGAAGTGGCTGGTGCTGGGAGGGGAGTGCTGCTGGGGGTGGGGCGCATTCCAGAGTAACATTCCTGAGCAGACCCTTGCATTGAAGACTTATAAGCCTCAGAATGTTCAGGGCATTTTGGCCCAAAAGTCCACTTGTGGGTTTTGTGTGTGTGTGTGCGTGTGTGTGTGTGTGTGTGTGTGTGTGTGTGTGTGTGGCAGGACCGAGGTGGGTTTTTCCAGGCACCGGCATCTCCAGAGCTCTTTCCTATGGGAAGGGTTAAACATCAAAGCCCCCTGGACAGAGGGAAAACACAGGACGAATGGGAACTAGGAAAGAATGGCGATGGATGGGAGGATAGGATGGGAGAGGGAGGACGTGGGGGCCGGTGACAGGTCCATCTATCTTTCCGGGCCAGCTGCTGAGTGGGGGCAACCAGGGAGGAAGGAGGATACTCTGTGATGTCCTTGACTGACCATCCCTATCAAGAGGGGCTCTAAACAGTCACCACACCCTTGGAAGCAACGACTGGCTTTAGATCTTACCTTACACTGTACCCTGGAGCTTGGCCACAGACTAAGGCTGCCTCCTGAAATTCAAAGGTTCTTCAGGCTTTTTTGCAGATGAGGTAGGGTGATGAAAGGGGTGTTCTGGGAAGGTGTGAAGGCCTAGTTAGCTGACTTTCCCGGTACTGGGTGGAACCAGACAGGGTTGGCTGGGCCTCAGCTCACCAGCACTAAGGAGGCCTCTGTATCCCCTCCTGGAGAGAGAAAACAGGGAGGAAGGGGATTTGGGAACTGGATTGGACTGATTCAGACCAGAGCTGGGAACTGGGTGGCTGAGTCTGGGCAAAGGCTGCTTTCAGAGACGATTTAAAACTATTTGTATGACTGATTCCAGGGAAGTGAAGCAAAAGGGCTCTTTTGTCCCGAAAATGATCTGAGGCTAGGCCTAAGTGGTAGGAGATCACAGACCTCCAGGGCGGGAGGTCTCTCTCCCACTTCCTTCCTGGGATCCTCTGAGAACTTTTAAGCAAAAGCTGTGACTCTAAAAGGAAGGAGGCGGGACTGGGTAGGGAGAGATGGGTACTGTGGGTATTCAGAGGACTGTTATCAAATGTCTGATGTGTTCCAGACCACGTAAAGGTGCAGAAGATGCCAAGTCTTGTTCACTAGCCTCAGACGTACATTCTGGTAGAGGATGCAGATACAAGTGATTCAGATGTTCAAAGATGGATGGCCCGGTCTAAGTTCAGGGTCTGGGGACTCACGGGAGGCAGAAAGAAGGTGCTTCCAGGACCCTGGGGGCAGAGCCTCGAGGCAGAGCTGTGTCCCTCTTGCTAGTCCCTTTGCCACCATCTTTAAAGGTGGCAGTGACTGGCTGGGCAAATGTGCTGTCCTGGATATGAAAGGGTCGGAGCTGAGCTCTTCCACGCCTTCTTCTCTTGACCTCTCCTACTGGTCTCTATAGCTTCCTGTCCTAGGCAGGGGAGAAGAGCCAGGCCTAGCAGGCTCAATTTCCCCCGCTGAGCCTGTGTACTTCTGTCTCCCCATCCACCCTTCTATTTTCAGGGGAAGCAGAGAAACAAGACATTTTAGGACAAGAATAGGTGTTTTCATCTGAGGCTAGTATGTTATAGGGCAGCTGGGCTGCAGCGTGGTTACTAACATGGGGTGAGCAGGGGTTTGTTTACTTCCTTGGAAGTTCCCACATGGGGAAGAAGGGGTAACAGGAAGGGTAAGTTCCAGGAGAAAGTTTGTCACCACTAGCAAATTCAGGAAGAAATTGAGGAGGGGGTAGAAGGTTTCCCGACCCCTAACCCTACCTAGCGCATGTCCCTGCGGGGTGTTGGGGGCCAGCAGGGCATAGGCAAGTTTGATTTTTTTGTAATGACCTAGCTATTATCAGTTGTGAACCTGTAGTATGGTCTTTGTTTTTTGGTTTTTTTTTTTTTCAGTACAGGGGATTGAACCCAGGGCTTTTTCACTGAGCTATGTCCTCAGCTAGCCCTTTTTATTTTTTTTATTTTGAGACAGGGCCTCCCTTGTATTTTCAAGAGATAGGAAGATGTGAAAATTGATCATTATCATGTCAGCTGTCCAAGTTACATTTTTACTGATAAGCATTTTCCCACTTATCAATTACTATGATGAAACAATTCCTATTGAGATTGGGGGGTTTTGTTTACTTATTAGGAATTAAATAGCTGGGAATGGGGAAAAATGGAAAGGAAGTAAACTATAAAGTCACTAAGTTACCCAGGCTGCATGCAAGCTTTTCCATCCTTCTGCCTTAGCCTCCCAGAGTGCTGGGATTACAGGCAAAGCTCAGCAAATAAGATCTGTCCCCTTAGAGTCACAGGTTCCTTATGTGGAATAATGGCCCGTTCAGAACCAGGAGCTGGCCCAGGCAGGTGAGATGAGACACTGTCTCCGTGGTGCTTGGTGTTCAGTTCCACATTTCCATCTATACCTCAGTTTCTAACTTGCTCACCTTGCACCAAAAACCTCCACAATGGAGTTGAACGTTCAGGATTCCTTAGCATGTTATCTATAAATTACCCCTGGGAATAGCTTGTTATTACTCCATACCCATTAATCCTTTCTTCCCAGCTCTTTTACATACACTTGGTGCTTTATTGACTTACAATTACAAAAAAGTCCACCATGGAAGCTTAAGTCATGATGTTGGGGAAAGGTTCTTTTGCATTAGAAGGGAAAAGAAATTAGTGTTGCAGTGTTTAGGGAAACAATAATAAATTTATGTAAGAATATTACATTAAGGGTTAATGGAGGACTGGGGATTTAGCTCAGCAACACAGCGCCTGCCTGGCAAGTGCAAGGTTGTGAGTTCGATTCCCTGTACCAGAAAAAAACCAAAAAAAAAAAAAAAAAAAAAAGTTAATGGAGATGGTTGTTGAGGTTAACAAGTAAGCTTCATTGAACGATGAGATAGCTGAGATGGCTTTTGATACCTAAAATACGTATTTTCAAGGGATAGGAAGATTTGAAAATTGATCATTACGTCAACTGTACAAGTTTCATTTTTACTGAGTAAGCGTTTTCCCACTTATCAATTACTGTGATGAAACAATTCCTATTGAGATGGGAGGGTTTTACTTATTAGAAATTAAGTAGCTGGGAATGGGGAAATATGGAAAGGAAATAAACTATGAAACACCTGCTCAACCCACCCCCGCAAGAGAAAGAGAAATAATGGGAAGATAGATAATGCCATCCCCCTGCCAGCCGCTAGTGGTCGCTATCAGCCCGGAACGCTCGGTTGCTTTCTGGAGCCTGCCTCCTGTGAGGTGGAAAAGACAGGGCTAAACCCCTCTAGGTACAGTATTTGAACATACAGAGTTCCATACATGTGGAGGATCTGCGTTTCATGGAATTTTGGACCTTATAACTTGCTTTTTAGAGAATTTGCATTTTAGTTGGAAAACTCACAGATTAGGTCTTTATGTTCTTATTTGCAATAGCTGGCTATCAAATCTTGGGCCTCACACACGCCAGGCAAGCACAGTACCACTGAGCTGCACTCCTGCCACCTCTGTAATTTCTCATAATGTGCAATATCCTTTACCTGCACTTCACACAAGGAAAACCCAGGAGGTGTGGAGAGTCAAGGTTTGGCTTTCTTAGGCGCAGATCCACTGCATTTGGTGAGCTAAGCAGAGGGAGTAGTAAGGCGTCTTCCTGGTGTTAATAAAAGATCTCTTCTAGCTACAAGGTCTTAGAGTCTTCCATTAAGGATAAATTCCTTTGGGTTTTGCACTGCTTTTGCCTGGTTCTTGCTTTTAAAATGTTAATGCCTCATGGGAGAATTTCTGCATGAAGTCATTAACTCCTTAGCAGAAGAATTAGTTTATTTTATCCTTGACTTTAGCATCTGAGCCAGACAAAGAATTCTGGATTCTGAAGAGGAAAGTTGGCATTGAAAGTGGGGAAATGAAGGACAGAATCGAGAGGACGTAGGAGGGATGAAAAGTTGATAAAAACAGATTTTATGCTATCTTTTTTTCTGACTCAAGGGTATGCCTTCCACGGGTGCTTGTTAAATACTTGTTGAATGGTAAATGATTGAATGAAGAAAAAACATGGCTGGTTAGCCATGGATCACCAGAACAACACTAGGACAGATGAAGTGCTGAATGGATGCTGTGCTTGGTCTGACTTGCTCACATGCCCTTTCACTCCTACTCTAGCCACCAGACCTCAAGGAATATTTGAATCCAGGTTATGATAGAAGAAAGAGAAAGAACTGAAAATCCAGTAACAGTTACCTCCTCTTGCGTGGTTAGAAATAGGGGTGACAAATGGGTTTTATCTGTGGTCAATTGGTAGATATTTATGAGTTCTATGTTAAGAAGGATTCTCAAGTGCAAAGGAAGTCTCGTGACCAGTTGGGACTGCCTGCCCTAGTTCAGGATGGAGGAAGCCGTACCATGCTTGTTGGAGCCTGGCCTCAGAGGACTGACTGATTTTGCTTCTTCTCTTTCTACCTCTAGGGACCCATCTGGAACCTGGCCTCGGAGCCAAGATGGCCACCCACAAGGCCTTGCTGATGTGCCTGGGACTCCCTCTCTTCCTGTTCCCAGAGGCCCAGGCCCAGAAACCTGCCCCACCCGGCTGCAGCTCAGACCTCAACTCCCTTTACTACAACCTGTGTGACCGCTCTGGGGCTTGGGGCATTGTCTTGGAGGCCGTAGCTGGGGCAGGGATCGTCACCACCTTCGTGCTCACCATCATCCTAGTGGCCAGTCTCCCCTTTGTTCAGGACACTAAGAAACGGAGCCTTCTGGGGACCCAGGTGTTCTTCCTACTGGGCACTCTGGGCCTCTTCTGCCTTGTGTTCGCCTGCGTGGTGAAGCCCGACTTTTCCACCTGTGCCTCTCGGCAGTTCCTCTTTGGGGTTCTGTTTGCCATCTGCTTCTCCTGCCTGGTGGCTCACGTCTTTGCCCTTAACTTCCTGGCCCGGAAGAACCATGGGCCCCGGGGCTGGGTGGTCTTCACTGTGGCTCTGCTGCTGACCCTCGTGGAGGTCATCATCAACACAGAGTGGCTGATCCTCACCCTGGTGCGGGGAGGTGGTGGAGAGGTTGGCTCGCTGGGCAACGGCAGTGCTGACTGGGCTGTGGCCTCCCGCTGCGCCATCGCCAACGTGGACTTCGTCATGGCGCTCATCTACGTGATGCTGCTGTTGCTGGGGGCCTTCATGGGGGCCTGGCCCACCCTGTGTGGCCGCTTTAAGCGGTGGCGTAAGCACGGCGTCTTTGTGCTGCTCGCCACAGCCGCCTCCATTGCTATCTGGGTGGTGTGGATCGTCATGTACACCTATGGCAACAAGCAACACAACAGCCCCACCTGGGATGACCCCACGCTGGCCATTGCCCTCGCCGCCAATGCCTGGGCTTTTGTTCTCTTCTACGTCATCCCCGAGGTCTCCCAGGTGACCAAGGCCAGCCCAGAGCAGAGCTACCAGGGAGACATATACCCCACCCGAGGCGTGGGTTATGAGACCATCCTGAAGGAGCAGACGGGCCAGAGCATGTTTGTGGAGAACAAGGCCTTTTCAATGGATGAGCCAGCCTCAGGTGGGTTTTGAGATGCTCCTGGGTCTTCTTCCTTGGTGCCACACACTTACTTCAGGGCAGGGAGCTTGTCACAGGGGAATATGGACGGCTCTTGAAGTTTTCTGATTTAAGGGCCCTACACTCAGGAGCTGCTGATGTAGCTCAGGGGTAGAGTGCTTGCTGAGCATAGGCAAGACCCTGCAGCAAGTAAACGGTAATACCTTCATTAATCCAATCAGTGGGGTGTGGTGGCGCACGCCTGTAATCCCAACGCTCAACACTTGGGAGGCTGAGGTAGGGGGATCGCCCCAAGTTCGAGGCCAGCCTGGGCTGCATAGTGCTTTCAAGGATGGCCTAAACTGCATAGCGAGACCCTGTCTCAAAAAATGAACAAAAAATAAAAATCTAATCAGCTTCCAAAGGGCTTTGGGACCACTTTAGATCTCAACTATAACTGGGGTCAAGGAGCCACATAGGACCATTAGCATTTACTGAGCACTTGCTGTGTGCCAGGCCCCGTGCTAAGCTCCTGTTGTGTGTACTTTATGTGTTTCTCAGCCTGGCTGCGGCCCCTCCTTACACGGCCTCAGAAACTGCCCCAGTCGCAGACTCTTGCTGCCAATTAAGATGCTTGAGGGCCTGAGCCTTTGGTTCTTGGTTACCTTGTGCTCCTGACTCTGGGGCCCTTGCTGGGAAGTCAGAGTCAGGCAGTGGAAGTTCTCAATTAGAGAAATCCCTGTCTCTCCTGTTCGTACTATGAGAAAAAAAGTGACCCTTGTCCCGCTGGGCACTCACTCTGTGATCCAACCTTGGGGCTGACTGCTACTTCTGGCACTCACATAGAGTGGGTCACTGAGGGTGCAGGGGCGATAGAGGAAGCCAACACAGGAGAAGCCGCTAGGAACAAATGTTGTGGGGTGTCAAGCCCTCCTCCCCACCGTGCACTTCCCTGAGGCTTGTAGGTCCAGCCAGAGCGTTCTCAGCTTTTGTCTTCCCGTGCTAGACACTTCTGGGCTATGCATTTTGTTTCTTTTTTTTTTTTTTTCCTCTTTCTCTCCAAATGGAAAAAAAATCACTAGAACAAGCCCAGCACTGAGAAGCCCTCTCTGGGCTGCAGTCCCTCAGCCCTTCAGGAGGGGACAGCACTGTACTGCCACCACCCTCAAGGTCTGCTCCTGGGCCCCAGAGCCGGTCAGCAGCCTTCCTCCAACACCTTGGGGCGCCCGGCAGGGTGGAACAGGGGGAAACCAACACCCTCAGGCACAGAGAAGTATTCCTAAAGCTGCAGATGGTTCTGAAACCTTGCTTGGGGGCCTGGGAAGGGACAGTCACAGGCTCTTGGCCAGGTCCTGGGCTGGTATGGAGGGGCCTAGGCAGCCGGCCCTGCCCTGGGAGGACATGGAGGTTCTTGGGTTGAAGGTCTCGGCTGTGCTTCCCCCTGGCGGCACCTGGCAGCTGACCTGTGGTGGCAGAGGTTGGAGCCAGAGGCTGGCCGTGCTGGAAGGCAGCCCAGGGCCCAAGTGCCCCTGTTGGCCTCCGGCCCCGAGGGCGGATGGGGATGGGAAGGTGCTGACTGGGCATTTTTCTGAGCTATTTGCGGGGGAGGGGGAGCATCTCACACACTGCAGGGAGCCAAGCAATGTTGAGATCTATTGTCCGTACAAAAGGGCCCTGGGCTTGGGGACCCCCCCACAAGTCTCACCTCCAAGTCAGCCACTCCTGGGAGAGAGGTAGGTGCCCCAGCATGGCTGCTGTGGTGCCCACGTCCCTCTTCCCTGCCCACAGGACAGCACTACGTGGGTTGTGGGAGGTGAAAAAGGGGGCTGGGGGTCCAGCGCCCTCAAACTGTGCCTGTCCTTTCTCGCAGCAAAGAGGCCCGTGTCACCTTATAGCGGCTACAACGGGCAGCTGCTGACCAGCGTGTACCAGCCCACCGAGATGGCCCTGATGCACAAAGGCCCGGTAAGTGGGCTTCCAAGCTTCTGTGACCTGCTGCCGGTGGAGATGACAGCCCAAGGCTGGCTCCTCACCTGGGGGGTACACCAGGGGCACCCGAGTTCTTGCTGCCCTTTTCCTGGCAGCTGCCACTTGTGGCTACACTGCAGTGGGACCTGCCTGGGTCCCTGGGCATCGCACACAGCCTGGGGCAAGCGGCCGGATGGAGAGGGACTGAGTGTTCAGCGAGGTGCTCCTGAGAGAGACGGGGGGGGGGGGCAACTGTGGCAGGTCTGGGTTGCTATTTAGTTCTCAACCACCGCTGTCTCGAGAGGGGATATGAATCCCTTCCCCCTGCCAGCCGGCAGCAAGTCCTGACCTTACACCTCCCCAGGGCTCTGGAAGCCAGATGCTCCGATAGCCAAGAAGTGGGGGGTGGGAACAGGAAGGCGGTGGGTGAGATTCCCACTCTCTATATGTTCCTCCTCCGGGCTGGCAGTGGCTGCGGGGAGAGGTCAGTGACCTGCTTTGGCAGAATGCTGGGAACAGGAAGCCCGGAGGTCAGCAGGGTGCTGTTCTCATCCCCTCCCACCTCCCACCGTGATCCTGGGAGGGGCCGGGGTGGCTCTAGTGTCTGAGACTTCCAACCCCAGCTCTTCTCCCTAAGCCTGAACCTGTGGCCAGGCTACCACCAGCAGCTGTGGTGAGCAGAAGCTGTACACCCAGCAGGGTATATAGGCAGACACAACTATTTCCTTAGGAGCCGTTCCCACCTCAGTGCCCCTCTCTCCCTCCCCAGGGCGTTTTGAGGATGATCTGGACTAGGATACCTTTTCTGCCTGGTCATTAGACCACCAGAGTTAGCATCACTTGAGAACTGCTGAAAATGCACATTGGGAGGAGCCAGAGCTGGGAGAGATGGTTGGCACCCCTTGGTATTGTCAACATCTCCTGGGTAGCTTGGGTCCCACCACTGTGGGTGTAACTCCCTCAGGCAGATCTACAAACAGAACCTCAGGCTCCTTCCTCCCCTTCCCAGTTGTTAAACATTTACCAGCTTCCCTCCCGCAGTGGGGCCTAGCTCTGAGGGGTATGGCTTAACCAACAGCATGTACCAGCCTGCGGAGATGGCCCCGTGCTGTCCTCCACCGCCAACAGTGCTGGCCCAGGTTTGAGACCACTGACTTAGATGTTCCCAGGGCAGCAGGAAGGAGGAGACTGCAAACAGGTGGGAGAGTTAGGTCAAGGCTGGGTTGAGGCCAGAGGTTTGGTAGCACTCTCTTCTACCAGGATAAGGGAGGAGGTGGGGCCAGGAGGGCACCTTCCTTCTGGGTGCGAATTGGCTTCCCCAGGACCCTACCCTCTTCCCCAGCCAAACTCTGGATCATTTGGGCTTTTAATCTCTGACTCCAGCTGGCCAGCCCAGATTCCTAGCCCAGGGCTGTGTGGTGATGTCCAGGGTGTCCCGCATAGAAGAGTGTCTGGTGTCATAGTGACATTCAGGGCTCTTGGGTAAGGTTCACCTAGGAGGAGCACCAGACAGGTAATAGCCACTCCGTGCCCGCGCAGGTCCCCCTCCCTTGGCCTTGAGGTTTCCCTGAAGGGCTGGAAGTGGGAGGGGGCTAGGGAGAGAGGATTCCTTTCTAAGAACCCCCCTAGGCAGCTTTATCCTATGCCTGGAGGCAGGGTTAGGAACTCCAGGTCAGCCCTCAGATTCTAGGGGTGCAGTGCTCTACCCCAGGCTGCTGGAGGAGCTGGGTGGGAGTGGGGGCAGAGGGGGCAAGAAGGGGGAGCTGGCAGGCAGAGGCATGCAGGAAGCAGAGTGTTTGTGCATCCGTCCTGGCGGAGCCTGGCTCCCGGTCCCCCTGGCTGTGAGGCCGCCTGTTCTTCCTTCCAGTCTGAAGGCCCTTACGACGTCATCCTCCCACGGGCCACCGCCAACAGCCAGGTGATGGGCAGTGCCAACTCGACCCTGCGGGCTGAAGACATGTACATAGTCCAGAGCCACCAGGCGGCCACGCCACACAAAGACGGCAAGAACTCTCAGGTCTTTAGGAACCCCTACGTGTGGGGCTGAGAGGCGGCGGCCACGGCCAGCAGGAGACGGGCAGATTTGGGGAGGGTCCTGGGGACCTGGCCTGGGTGAGGGACTCTCAGGAACCCCGTGTTCTGCAGCTCCCCTCCCCTTCACTGGCTCGGGGCAGCTTGTGCCTCAGACTCTGAGGTCCCCCTGACCACCAGTGTTCTGGTGCGTGTCCTGGGGGCTCCACCCACTCGGTGTTTGTGGAGTCCAGGAGCCAACCCGGCTGCATGAAGCCTGGGCCACTCCAGTAGCCCGGCGCCAGCCAAATAGTGTTCTTGGGGTGGTGGCCGGTCCGCGCCTACATTCTCCGGAGATGCCTGCAGCCTTGGGATCTCAAAGCAGGCTCTTCGGGCCTGGGCCTTGCTCCTCTGTGAGGAACAAGGGTGCCTAATAAACATGTTTCTGCTTTATTAACTCATGCTGTGGGTTCACGGTTTCTGAAGGGGCCTTCAGTTTCACATGACCCTCTCTTCCTCCATGGGCAGCAAGACCCTCTTTCTCTTCCCTCACATCTGGCTCACAATGCAAGCTGCTGCTGGGGTCTTCTGAAGTTAAGGAGCCTGTGCACCATTGCTGTGTATAGTGGTGCACATCTGTAACCCTAGCTTCGTAGGAGGCTGAGGCAGGAGGATCATTAATTGGAACCCAGCCTGGGCAACTTAGCGATATAGTGAGAACCTACTTAAAAAACAAAACAAAACACTTCTGGGGCAATAGCTCAGGGTAAAGGCCCTGGGTTCTATCACCAGTACTGCAAAAGGGAAAAAAAAAAAAAAAAAAAGAGCCCATGCCTCCCCCAGGGCAGGATTCATAGTGGATGGATCCTCCCTCTACTCTGAGTACAGTATGAACATCTGGGTCTTCACTGGTACCTAGGACACATACAGCCCCGCATCTGGACTTGTTTGACACAAGCAACTTTCCTTGGGGACCCCATCACTGGCTATATGTGGGGACAGACAACAGGGACGGCAGACCCAGCAGCAGCTTTGGGGGTGGTGGGGGGTGGGGCCAGCTGATCTCAGCTCCTCTAGGCGGAGGAGAAAGGAAGTCCTTGAGGGGCGAGGTGGGGAATTCATAATGCTCCACGCTGTGAGGTCACGCTGTGTGGTACGTGGGTGGAATGGCTCAGAGCACCGGGTATTGTGTACAGCGTGGGTTTATGGAGGTAGAAAGCGCCTGGCCAGGTCCTGCTAGGGTCAGGAAGTGAAATGTCCATTTGCTCTGTACTTTACAGTCAGCAAAAGCCACTCCTGGGAAGTTTAGTTAAATTTTAACTAAAGATGTGAAAAGGGAGACTAGAATTCTGCTCCCTACCCCAGCTAAAATCCCAGAATGGTATCCTTTCAGGGTGAAATAGAGCCTTAGGAGTAGGTGTCTCACTTTCCCTCACATCTTTATAGGTAAGCAAGGTGATCCAGAGAGGCCACCCTGCCTCTAGGTGGCCGCACCAAGGCCGGCCAGCTTTTCTGAAAACTCTGGCACCTTTTCTCTCTGGCTGCCGGTGGGCCAGGGGCCTGGGCTGTGAGCAGCTCTCGGTCATGGGGATGAGGCAACAGTATCCTGACTCTTGCACCCCGACTCTGGGCTTTCTGAGGTTCTCCCCAAGCTATTTTCTGACACCAGTTGTAGAAAAGAAATGTTTTTGTTGAAAGGAAGAGAAAGGTACTGGAAGAAAAATAAAACTTCTCCCAAACTTCTGCTGCTATATTCAGATTGTACCAGGCCCTGGGGACTGAAACATTCACTTACTTTTTTTAGTAAAAACCAGTACTTGGGCCCCGAGCGGTAGGCTCCCTCCCCTTTGACTCTTGTTCTTTCTGGTTACTTTAGGCTCAGTCCCCGCAAAATAAAACGAGATGGTAGACGCCCTCTTCCCTGAATCTCACAGCATCCTGATGTCCTCTTTCCTCTGTACCCAGGCTGGGCAGAGCCCAGCACTTTCCTGCCCTTGTCATTGGAGCTGGGAAGGACCGGAGGCCACCAACCTGATGGAGTGGACAGAGTACAGGCCTGTGAAGGCCTGAGGCCTGTGACCGGGCTTCTTAGGGCCACCTCTTTTCTGCCCAGCCCAGACACTGCAGCTACGAGGAGCTGCCTGCAGACTCCCAGCTCCCCTCTGACACCCCTCCCACGTCACAGCCCCTATGTCCCGTGCTATCCTCCAGGCGGCTACCCTGCTGTGAACAGCAGACCTCCGCTGCTCATCTTGACACTGAACCTTTCCGGCCTGGCCCTCTTGGTGCCCGGCATTGGCTCATCCTACGCTGCACTTGGGGTGGATCTCCTTCATGAGGCTTTGAAGCCAAACCATGGGCAGAAGTCATGCCTTGCCCTTCTCCTGAGGGCCATCTGCCACCACCTGGACTGTGGAAGGCCACTGAGCCAGCTGGATAGGCGCTGCTTCTCTTCCTGGCCTGTGGGTCCCGGGTCCAAGCCACTGGCTCTGACCAAGCCTTCCCCACCCTCAGTTAACCCAGGCCTGCTGTTCTCTGTTCTCTCCTCCCCCTCACCAGCTGGGACAGGGATTGCTACACTGGTCCCAACCAGGGATGCTCTCATGCAGACATACACATGGAGCGCCCCACAGAGGAGCTGGGGAGTTGGTAGCCCACAGTGACATTTGGGGAGCAGCACCATTTACGTGGCTCAGTCCTCGCTGGTGTCTTTGCTCTTCCCAGCCAGCTGGGAAGGTGGCTCCTGGGACAGGTGGAAGTGTAGATGCCCCTCATTACCTGGATCTCACAGGTTCTGGGGAGCAGTGGGTGCCTGCCGTGTTTACCTGGACGTCTGGTTAGGTCCTGGAAGCATCCTTAGGAGACACAGGGTGGGGGATCAGGGCTGCTTTCTCAGGAATCAGCTAAGGGTCCTGGAGTCTAGGCCTCTTCTGTGACTGAAACTTGTGGGGTGTTCGGAAGCCCCCCAGGAACTGGGGTCCATCCCTGAAGACTGTGCTGGTTGCGCCTGGCAGATGTCTTAAGTTCCTACCTCACCTTGGGCAGCAGAGACTCTCAAGGCGTCTGGACGTGCTGGTGCTACCTTCATCACTGGAAGGTCCCGATGGCAGCCAGGGAACAGGGGCCATTCTCAGGACCTGGATGATGCTGGCACCAAGGACAGAGATGAGCACACTCATGGGACTCGGGTCTGCACCGCATCCTCTTCCCTTCGTCCTGTCCTTGGGTACCAAACAGCTGGCTCATCCGAGCAGGCCTCGCTGGGTGTGCCCTGGAGCTCAGCCCTCAGCCCAGCACTGTCTCTGGGTGCAGAGAGGGAGGATGAAGACAAGCAGCTTTTGGAGGCAGCACTCTGTGGTCAGTCCCTATCTCCAGTGCCACCCTCATATCTCTGACAGCCTGTGCCTTTGTCGCTGGAGTGATTTTGCAGAGCTAAGCTGTGTGAGCGGTTCCCACGGTGCAAGGCTGTACCCTAACCTGTGATACTTCCCCCTCCCTCCAGGGTAACATTTTCTCTGAAGGGAAAGGACAGCTCCAAGCATTTCAAACTGCTGTTGATCTTGATGTGGAACCCCAAGGTCCCTTACCGTGGGCAGAGGTGTGAGCTTGCTGTTCCAGAGTCCCTGGCTGCATCAGGTGGCCGAGGATGCAGCCTGCTGTGGACCTGGCTACCTTTGGGGCCTGCAGGTGATAATCAAAAGGGGTAAGCTCCAAAAAGGTGCAGGCTGGCCCAGATTTGAGTGCCCAGGGGTCTTCCATCCCCCAGTCCTGGGCTGAGTGGAAAACATAGATGAATTTTATTTTGGTTTGGTTTAGTTTGTTTTTGAGATGGGGGTTTCACTATGTAGTTCAAGCTGGCCTTGAGCTCGCAGCAGTCCTCCTGCCTCAGCCTCCCAGAGTGTTATAGGCATGCACCATCACACCTGGTGATGGATGTGTTTCAGAGATACTTTATATTGCACATAATCCTAGAATGGGGAAAAGTTAGAGCAGGCCATTTCCTGCAGGGTCATCTCCCTCAGACCAGCACCTGGGTAAATGTCACCCCCACCATGTCAGACCCTGTAGCTGGAAGCAGAGGGGTTTCAACTTCATAACTGTGCGGAATTAAATGACTGTCCTCTGTTTGTGAGGAGCCACTGCCACTGAGTTCCCATGTGTTCGTGAGGAATTCTGGGATATGACTGTACATGTGTGTATTTTTTCTTCCACCCCAGACCCCTGCCCTGTATAGCAAGCAACATGGTTTAATTCCTTCAAACCTTTCTCTTGGTAGGGGAAGTACTCTATGAGGGGAAACTAAGCCTCCAAAAAACATTGAGATCTCACCTAGCCAAGCCCAGAGACCGGTGACCCCCACATAGGGTGTGAGAGGGACAGACAGGAGAGGGGACACCCTGATAGCAGCTCTGTGGCTGCCTGGCCTGGCCTGGGGAGCAACTGAGATGGCACAGTGGGTGAAACGCTCTGTCCTGGGAGCGGCACAGTGGGCCCAGGCCGGGAGGACCTGCCAAGTGCCACACCCGGCTTCCCGGCTAGCTCCTGTGTCTCTTCACACGCTTTCACCAGCACCTCCCAGGCCACAGAAGAGAACAAGACACGGACAGCCAAAGGGACTCGCCCACGGGGACACAGCACGGAGGGCGTCTGTGAGCCCTTGCATCCATTCTCATTAAGGCTAATGCTTTCTCTACACCCCTGAGGATGGCCAGGTCAGGCGCAGGTGCCGGTGATCAGACTTTGCTTCCTGTCTGCTGTCTCCACACTCGGCCCTCCAGGAAGCTGCAGCCCCCGCCCACGGCAGCCACATGAATTATTTAGCATCTGCGCCAGCCTGGCAGCGCTCTGACCTCATCCTCCTTGGGTCCTGGGTGTGGCTCTGACCTCATCCTCCTGGAGAAAGCGTTGCTGCTAATGGGCAGAGGTGGTGGTGGTGGTTGAGAAGGTGGGGACCAGAGACCCAGTTGCCCTTGTAGCAGGAGGCGGCCGAGTGGAGAGAACAGGACACAGAAATCAGGCAGCTGAGTGTTCAGGTAGCTGAGCCTTCCTAGCTCTGTGGCCTTGAGCAGTTTCCCTTAACCCTCAGTCTCTTCATCTTGAAAATGGAAGAACCAACACCTTGAGTTCATTCTTGGGGTTCTAGCCGAAGGTAACCCCCGTGAAGGTCATGGCCAAGGCAGAGCATCCAGGCGATCTGGTCCAATGTGTCCTGCCCAGGCCAGCTGGCCTGAGGGCCGGACTTCACAGTCAGCTGGCCCTGGAGTTGCCGCATCTCCCCTTTCCTCCTGAGAGGGTGGGATGGCAAGTTTCAGTACTGGAAGGGAATGTTAAGGAGAGGGACAGACCCTGGTCAGTGTCCTGATCAGCAAGAGAGAGAACCAGCTCTAAATGTGGTTCGAGCAGGGCCTGAGCACACAGGAAATCCAAGAAGCCAGGCTGAAGAGCTGGGATCAAACTGAGT